TAGCATCTAGCTGTTGTATCTGGATCCAGACACACATCTGGTCAAGCTAAAGATGTGCATCAATGAGCAGCTAGCATCCTAAGCACTAGAGAAAAAGCCTTCTCCAAGCACATGTGCAAGAATAGTCGTGTGTGTGTGTGTGTGTGTGTGTGTGTGTGTGTGTGTGTAACTGTATGTGTGTGTTATAAACAACAACAGAACAGCTGAGATGTTCATGATTAGGAGTCAATAAAATTAAGCTCACTAATTCCAGGACACTCTCCAGTAGTTGAAAAGAATGATTGAGAGTTGTCTTATCAAGACTAATAAATTCTTTTAACGGTTTATCTTTAGCAATTAAAATCAAGTTGGGAGAACAGCTGCAATATAATAAGTTCAAGGGGCTAAAACAGCACTACACATTTTAGATACAAAAAATAAGCTGGGTGGTTTTGGTGCACACCTTTAATCCCAGCACTTGGGAGGCAGAGGCAAGTAGATCTCTGTGAGTTTGAGGCCAGCCTGGTCTACAGAGTGAGTGCCAGGAAAGCCAGGGCTACACAGAGAAACCTTGCCTTGTAAAACAAAAAGCAAAATCAAAACAAAAAAATATAAACTAAAGACCAAATGAAGAAAAAGATCTATTTTACTCATGATAATTATGTCATGCAATGGAGAGAGGGGAAAGGGTTTGGAAAAAAAGGGAATAAAATGAATTCCAAAGTCCCTGAAATCCAGTGTTTTAATATGTTAATAGTGCCCCCTCTTCTTTCCCTCATTCCTCCCCTCCCTTCATTAAAAAAAAAAACCTTTGAAAAATATTAAATGTTAAAGCTTATGTGTTTTCATAGAAAAAAATCAACAAAATCTAATAAGAAACAAATATTTCTTTAATATGAGTAAATGAGAAGTAATTCCTGCAGCAATTTAAGTCAACTCATATCTCCAGGTCAAAAAGACAGCCACGATATTACTATTTTCCATGTAGTTCATTTGCTGGTGTTTCCAATCAAAACTCTAAATTCTCTATTTGGGGAGCCAAAATCTGATGCTCCAAAGTGTGACACTGTGGTGTAAGGACTACTCCAAAGTGATTGGTGAAGGAGATTGGTAGTGATCAGAAGTAAGGTGTCAATGGCCTTTCTCCCATCCTCCTGTTTCCTAACCCCTTCTGTCACCTTTGTCTCTTGATAACAGTCACAATTCCTTATACTTAAGGGAGACTAGATCCCAGAACCCTTCTCTACTCTATATAAGCACTCCATGAAACTGTGGAGGGTTGCTTCTTGCCTCCCTTTGGCATTAAGACTGTGATTCCAGAGGACTTGGATGCCCAGGAGGGAGAAATAGCACACAAAGAGTCCAGGAAGAAAGTGAACAACTCGCTTTACTGGGTCCTTCCCATGCCTTAGCCCCTTATCAAACTCCATTCACATTTCCACTGGCTCTCCATTCTTTATAAACCTCAGCGGAAAACCAGAACATCTCCCTCAGTCTCTGCGCCTTATCTCTGAAGACATCCACGCCACATAAGACTTCGATTCAATGACTTTGACAGGCTTTTCTTTTAGAATGTGTCTTTTGTTATATGCCAGCTGCGACCCTTCTGACGGATTAGGAAAGACCACCACATCTTACTGCCTTCTCGTCTGTAGCTTTTCTTTCCTTTCATCTTCCTGATGGCCTCCTTTTGTACCACTTTTGTCAACATTTAACAGCCTTTGTAACGTTGGTGGTGCATACCAGACACCCACATTAAAGATGGGCCTTGTGGGTGTTATCTGACTATAGCAAAAAATTCATACATCCGGGTTCCCAAGGTTTGTGACCTTGGCTTCACTGGGGCCGCTGTGTGAGAGAGGCGGGTATTGGCAATGGATGGTCTCACTTCTACACACAGAGGCTGTCTTCCTCTACTGCTTGCAAAAGCAGGCTGGATGGTGTAGGAAACTTCTTATTTTGTGGAGCTGCAATGTTATTAGCAGAAGAGCAACCCAAGCAAAGAATATTCAGCGAGTGACAAGGATGTTTTGTACAGTGTATTAATGATAACTTCTCTTCCTCTCTGTCTCTCTCTCCCGTCTTTGTTCAAGAGGCTTCTTTTATAACAAGTGTTTTCAGATTGGAGCACGTCATGGCAAAGAGCCCGGAAGAGGTGGATTTAGTGCACCGAAGTTCTGTTTTCAATTATTGAGAATCCACGAAACCACAGGCTTAGGTTTTGGATAGCCAATTTCAACGTTTGCCTTTCCAATGTAAATGTATAAAACATAAGCTGTTTAGCAGCACTGGGGTCTTTCTCAGTGACATGAGTCTCATCTCTCTAGCAGAGTACCTGCTGTGTAGGCTTATCACAGAAGTAGGTTTATGGCGCCTTCATTAATACGTCTGCACACTGACTAGACACTGGGATGTGCAATTCATTTTTCTCTAAGCTGTGATCCATCATACATATTCAATTTAATATATTTCATTATGCTAATTTAACCAAGAAAATAGATTTTTTTCCTTACAAGTTCCAGCACATTTTCCAAAGACAGAGAAAACCTGTTACTGTTACAATACTTTATTCCATTGTTATATAAGAATTTCCATTTTAACATAGGCAAATGTCTGATTTGAGATCCCATGATGCAGAGGAACAGGAGTGGTTCAGACAATGGAAAGCAGAGAGAACAAATGATGGAGAAAGCATAACAGAAGGAAGGAAGTCCACAGCTGGCAGAGCACTGACTATCACTCAGGCCCTGTCCATGCCAGAAACTCCTTGATTTCAGTAAGCTTACTGATAAGTGCCATATTCTTTTAGTTTCTCAAAGCCAGTTTAAAGAAGAAGTTGTTGGCCCCACAGGTCACCTAAGTCACCTAATATGTCCTAGGGTGTCAGTTTTCTTACCAGTAATGGAACTGATGCTTATATTCGCTTGCTGACCCCAGAGTGCTGCTCAGAAGCTAATGGCACAAATGGAAGTGTTTGTAAACCATAGTGTAAGATTTATGTCCCCAGTTACATTTCTACTATTAAGAATAAAATAATGCTTCAGACTTAATTTATTTCAGTTAGTGTGCAATGTATGATCCCAAGTTTCTTTACCCAATACGGAAGCCAGTAGCTATTGAAATTACATTAGATTGACATTGAATAATCCTTTAAAAATAATCCAGTTACTCGGCAGTGTTTCACTACATAATGTTGGTAGTTATGTGTGTGTCTAATGGTTACCTGTCAGACAGCATGGCTGCTAGAACCTTTCCTCTTTTGTGGACGGTGCTGGTCTAAAGTTTCAAGGGGTGGACCTTCACTTTGCTTGATTATTGTACTGTATACAAATACTATTTTTTTTGAAAAAAGATTTATTATAATGTCTTGCACTTAAGTGTTGTATGTTCCTGGAAGCCAGAAAGGAGTGCCAGATCCCTTGGGGCTGTAGTTAGAAGGGCTTACAAGCTGTTCCATGGGTGCTGAGATCCAAACTCTGGTCCTCTGACAGAGAGTAAGTGCCCTTTACTGCTGAGCCATCTCTTCACCCATTTCCCCTGCCCCTTTCTAGCTCACAGCTTGCCTTTATGTGTTAAAGAGGAACCAAACTCTATATTCATTGAATTTCAAACTTAGCTGTAATCAAGAGCTTATGTAATTATTACTGAAAAAGCAAGCAACTTTTTGGTAGTTTGTTACAACAAACCCTGGAGCCATAAAATGTTTTATGCACTGTAAAAATTGTCCTCTAGCTTTGTTCCATGGAAACTCATTTTGCTTTGATTTACTGTGACTTAAGACTGGTTACGTCATCTTTATGAGTCCTCAAAGGCAGCCTCTGCTCTGGTCATGGAGGAGGTTCAGCTCTGCTCCTGCTTTAACGTAATGGAATGCCTACAGTTTCCAAGGAACTCACCCGACAGCACAACAAATCGTGAAGTTGGCATTTCTCACTGCTGCCTAGGCAGCTTGCCTGACTGTTCCCATAAAGACTCTGCGTAGCACAGAGGCCAACAGAGGCAATTTAAGGAGAGCCTACATGGAGCAAGCTTGGGTAACCAGGTTGATAGGCAGAGGCACTTTCCCTTGTGGCATGTGGTGCTGGTTATTTTTAATGGCCAACTTGACACAACTGAGAATCGCCTGGGAATAGGGTCTCATCGAGGAATTGCCTAGATCAGGTTGGCGGTGAGCATGCCTGTGAGTAAGTTTTCTCTTCCTCTTCCTCTTCCTCTTTTCTTCTTCTTCTGAGACAGGGTTTCTCTGTGTAGCCCTGACTGTCCTAGAACTTACTTTAGACTAAGTTAGCCTCAAACTCAGAGATCACCTGTCTCCGTATTCTGAATGCTGGGATTAAAAGTTTGTGCCACCACAGCCATCTGGCATTTTTTCCCCCTTAGGTTAGTTGAGGTGGAATGGCCCACTCTGAATGTGGGCAGCCTCACATCACAGGTTGGACCTGATCTGTATGAGTGAAAAAAAATCAGTCGAGCTGAGCAAGTAAACACACATTGATTTCTGTGTCTGCTCTCAAGTGTGATGTTACTGTCTTGAGTTTTTGCCTTGACTTACCCACAGTAATGGACTGCAACCTGGAATTATAAGCTGAACAAATCCTTTCTTCTCTAAGTTGCTTTTTATCAGGGTACTTCACTGCAACAGAAGGAAATAGAAAAATACTTAAGACCATTTGATACTTTGTGAAGATCATAGATTATAAATATATGTGGCATCAATCATTTGTGACCTTCATTTCAGGTTCCAAATGAGTGTCTTTGCTAGCAACACATACTTTCAAATTTCCTATTTTTTTAAGACATTGTTTCATTTGTGTAGCCCTGACTGGCCTGACACTTGCTGTGTAGACCTGGCTAGCCTTGAATTCATAGAGATTGACTTGCCTCTGTCACCTGAGTGACGTAATTAACTACATGCACTACTAGACCAGCCTCAGTGTATGTATTTTTAAAAATTCCTAAATAACTGCTTAAATTTTCTGACTTCTGTACTGTGACTCTAACAACAAGTTATTGTGTTACAGGAAAGAAATTCAGACAATGCCTTGGTGTATTTGTTAATTTGCTAATCGGCAAAGCAAAGGGTCTTCTCCACTTGATCTGTCTTCTACCAAGGAGAAGTGAGGACTGTGCAGAATCCTACATCAAGAAAAAGCAGTTCCATGTTCCTGAGATGGAATGCAAAGGGGTCCTGTTGTTGACTCCAAAAGGAGGGCCAGGATGCCAATTACGCTGTTCAAGAGATATTTGAAGAATAGCGGACATGGCAGAGAGCACAGATAAGGGAGCATGATAGAAGACCGCTTGTACTTGAGTAGGAAGCGGATGGGGTACACACTTGGAGGATGTCAATGCTGGTTGACAGTCAACAGGAAGATGGTCTCATCTGTCATTTGTTAGACAGGACACAAATACATACACAAAGCGTGGGAAGCTGAGAATCATTTCCCAGCTGTAAAGAGCAAGCAGCACGGGAAACAGGAGTCTGACAAATCTCAAGGTCAAAGAAGAGGAAGGCATTTCTGAAAGCCAGGTGACACTAGCTGTCCTGGTGCTGAAGGGGAAAGGTTGGCTTTGTCTCTTCCCTCTCTTCTTCCCCCCTCCCCTCCCTTCTCCCTTCTCTTCTCTTCCCTCCCCTCCCCTCTTCTCTATGTTCTTCTCCTCTCTCTTCATCTCCTTCTCTCCATTCACCCTTTCTTTTGCCATTTAGAGTTCCCAGAAGTCCTTAACCTAAGAAAGACAAAAATATGAAAATCATTAGAAAGGACACAGACTCCATTGTGGCATTTGAGTCACAGAATGACACCTTTTTATGGCTTTCAAATTAACTCATGAGGTCTGTTCCCTATGGAACATATGATGGAAGATAAAGGTTCATACTTAAAAAAAAATCTTGTCAGCAAAGGACTAGAATGACATTTTACGTTTATGCAAATATTAGTAATTGTTTTTGTTTTCAGATTGACCAAATTTAAAGAAAGGGGGAAAGGTTAAGACAAAGAAACAAATTGTCCAATGCTTGTTTTCCCTCTTTCTAATAATTAAGATCCTAGATAAAAATTAAAACCCAAATCAAAAACAACACAAACACAAATAAAAAAACCCAGGAAGGACTACACTGACCTCTCTACCTGACATCACTCTCCAGGCCGATTTCTCCTTACATAATGTGCTCTTAAGTCTCAGTACTTGGCCAACACAGATACTGCCCATGTGGCAGACACCAATGTGTGGCTACCACAGTATTTTTCTTCTGAGGGAATGGTTTACTACAGGTCATCATGACCTACAAAACTGTGATGAAGGAAAAGTTAAGGCTACCATATTCAGAATGAGGCATTTCTCTTTGGCCCTCCTTAGAGGTAATTCTATCCTGAAGTTAAATATTCTTCGTTTATAGGCTGACACCTTTATTGTGTATGTAGTTATTAATGTCTATAAACATACAAAGCTTCTTGTGCTTTTGACCTTGACAGGAAAGGCACTGTGGCAGGAGCTTTAATTCCTCATGCAGCTTTTTATATTCCTCAGTATGGTTTTGTAAAGGTATCTGTTCATCCTTTATCATGTCTATCTCATTCATTTTGACTGCAGACTTGTAATTTCTCAATGGAAAATAATCATTGTGTGTTCCCCAAGGTACAGCAGTGATCAAAAGAGAGATCTTGGCTGGAAGGAACTTATATTCTATTGGGGGAATTTAGAAAATGTTAAATGAGCATAAAAAGCAAATTGCACAGCATGTTAGATGGTGTTTGATGGCATAAAAAAGTGTACAACCAATTACTGTAGATTGGGAGTGAGAGTACAAGGAGATAACAAGTTGAAATTTCAATACAGGAGTTCAATGGAGTCCTTTCATTGTTCTATCTCTGACTCTCTAACAATAATTATAGATAGAAGTGAGATAGGTTTTTTGTCATATTATCAAGATTTTTAGAATTCTTCTAAAATTTCACAGGTAAATATATTCCTAAATATTTAAAGCAATACTATCTCTGAAGTCAAGAACTCCCCCCACCCCCAGATTCTTTATTGCTGAATGTTTTCCTGTTTCTAATTACAAGCAAGTTTTCATTGTGCTTGAATTTTTTTTTCTTTCTGAGGTGATGAATTGATTTTCCCTTTAGTTTCCTAATAGAATCTATTTATATCTAGAAATTCTGACACCCTCACACATATATAATTTAAAATATTTGTTAATCTAAAAAATAAATACCTAAGGTGATTCTTAAAGAAGATGAATTAACCAAACACAGTTCTGGCAGGATAAACCAAAAATTCTGAAGAAGACCTTGACACAAATCAGATTAAACCTTTCTTCTCCAAGTTGTTTTTGGTTACTGTTTTATCACAGTAATAGAAAACACACTGATAAGGCAGTGTGAGCTCTTAACCACTGAACCATCTCTTTAGTGCCCCTGTGGATGTTCTTGGCTTCCTTCCTTCCTTCCTTCTTTCCTTCCTCCGTCCCACCCTTCCTCCCTTCCTCCTTTCCTCCTTCCTTCCTTCTTTCCTTGGCCATGTGGAAGTTAACATTAAAATGGCTTCACTGTGGTAGAGCTGACAGAGAACACATTCTATGTGTTTATATTGTAGTTTTGTTAAGCTTTGATATCTGTTGATCTCTGAAACCATCAGCACAAGTCAATGAACTCATTTTTCTTCCCAAAGTTAGCTCTCTATCATATCTGAATCCTTCCTTCTTGCCTGTGTCACCCACCATTATAGACAGCCACTGGTTAGTTTTCTGTTGTGTCGTTACATATATACTTTAGACCCAGTAAATTTAAATATATAGCTATTTAGAGGTTCATGTATTGTGTTGAGTTCCTATGTTTATAGACTTACCGTTGGTTATTTTAATCTTATTCCTTCATGATGTGTTCCCAAGCTCAGCTTTCCAATTTATGTAATCTTTGTTTTCCTAGACTGTTGAGTTGTTTAAATCTTAGCTATGTTTTTTTGTTTTTTTGTTTTTTTTTTATGCTGAAGGTTTCTAATGGTTCTTCTTCTTATTTACCAATTGATATCTTATTTGCTTTTTGAGCTCTATAATTTCTTGTAGTTCTAAAAAAGTTTCCCATAATTTAGTATTTAAAGAATCTAAGCATATTCGTTTTCAGATTTTAAAATCACATCTCCATAACTTAAAACTTAAACATAAATTCTCTGCCCTTCGTTACCAACATTGTCTTGCTTTGTGTGTTTGAGAACACGGTGAGGACACTTTCCTGGCATTGGTAGCCTTCTCTCACTCTTCCAGAAACTGGCCTAACCACTCTGTTCTTTGGAAATCTTGAGCCTGCTCTCACCTGTTCATCTAGGACCTTTAAGTCTAATCCAATTTAATAAAGAGTAACACCCAACGAGTGGGTGACTTGTTGCAATTTTTGCTTTTGTACATAAAAGGGAATATAAAAAATACCTTACTGATTGGTTTTTTTGTGTGTGTGAATTAAGTAACCATTTTGAAGAGGACTTGTTTAGAGAAATAATGGTGTGAGTTATTTTCATAGCCAAATCAGCATTTGAATTTCCAAAATAAATGAACTGTCGAATTCAGTGAAAGTAGTTTATTTTGTTCATGAATTATCTCCAGGATTTGTAGATTTTCATTCACTTCTGTGAGGATGAGAGTTCCAGTTTCAGTCTTAGTACTTTTGTTTTAAAAACAAGGATTATTTCATACCAAATAGTCACGCTTTCTGGGTCTGTGGTGGGACCATTGGAAGAAGCCAGGCCCATGTATGTTGTGAAGATTTTAAGCACAGCATGGTCTGGACAGGGAGAATTTTGTTGAGTAATTTTTGTTTCTGGGGATATCCTAGAATTAATACTAATACATGCCAGACATTCTCATAGCTTTCTAAAAGTGCAGTGCCCCTACAGAGAGAATAGCTGGCGGGGTTGATCAGGAGTCATATGAAGGTAAGGGTGGTGGTACTTTCTCTCTGTACGATACGAAAGAGGACGTTCTTCTGTACATGTCATGTGTGTGTGCACATGTGAGGGGGTATCAATGTATGTGGTTCCTTAGGAGATGTTCATGTTATTTTTGAGACAAGTCTCTTAGTAAGTCTGGAGTTTGCCTATGCAGTTGGACTGGCTGGGCAGCAGGTCTAAGTGATCTTCTTGTCTGTTTTATTAGAGCTGGGAATATAGGCATGCACCCCCGTACAGGCTGTGTATACATGGGCCTAGCATGTGGGTCCAGGAGTCTGAACTCAGGCCTTCGTGCTTGTTCAGCAAGTGTCCTACCTCCTGGGTCATCTCCTAGTCCCATACGATTTGTTTTACTTTAAACATTTCCTTAGAAAAGCCTTTTCCCTGGAACCCAATGCTCTTTCTCCGACCAGAGTATCTGGACATGTTGTCATTGATTCCATAGCCGAAGAACGCAAGAATAGGCTTGGGGCTGCTGTAGACAACAATTACACTTCCAGTTTGATTGATCTTACTTCGTAATAACATTCTCCTTAGAGAAGAAAAATGGGATGAACACCAAACTACCTCAAGCGAGGTTCAAGGAGATGCAGACATTTGATTTTTTGAACACTTCATCTGAATTAGATCCTCTTGGGTGATACAATTGGAAAACAGCATTTCATTTCAGTGAAAATATGCTTGGCAGCCCCTCCATATACAAAGTTCAACTTCAGGGCAAAGAAAAGAAACACTCGTTATGTAACGAGATCAAATTATTAGCCATAGAGGAGAGTTCCTGCCTTGGTCCAGGAACTAGGAAATAGACACTAGTGTGCAGTGTTACTTTGGACACAATCCTTTATTCTAAGTATTTTCACCTTGGAGACCTTTACCATGCTCTCTTATTTATTTAGAGAACATTATCTAAGATACATAATAGTAATTTTGAGTAAGTATTCGAAAATGAAGTAAGGAAAGTAGTTCTACAAATAAAAAGAACCCTGTTATAATTCCTGGAGGGTAGGAGTGGGAGGTGAGGAGGTGGGGGTGGGAGGTGAGGAGGTGAGGTGAGGAGGGGGGTGGAGGTGAGGAGGTGAGGAGGTGGAGGTGAGGAGGTGAGGAGGTGAGGAGGTGAGGAGGGGGGGTGGGAGGTGGAGGGGGGGGTGAGGAGGGGCGGAGGGGGGGGGGGGGGTGGGGGGAGACGGAGGGACACAATCAAAAAGAACTAAACTCTGTAACCAATGACAAGCAAAAACAGACATCATATCAAGTATTTCGTCTGCAGTGGTGTTAGCTGGGTATCCAGGTGAGGAGGAACTCTTGCCTGTGTTCTACCCCTAACAAATCTGCCATGCTGTCTTGACTTTACCTCCACCACACTAGCCACCTATTGGTGCCCCTACTTCACATTCTTAAGTGTGAATTTCTCCTCCTTGTAACCAAATCTTCTATTTAAAAAGTTTCCAAAGCATCACATAAATCCTTTTAAAAAGGATTAAAAAGGGATTTTTGAACCCAGCCTTTAAACCCTGTACTCAGGAGGCAGAGGCAGGCAGACCTCAGGTACAGGCTGCCTGGTCTACACAATGTGTCTCAGGAGAGTGA